GACAGGTTTAGGACACCCTGTATATTTCATATGAGAGAATGCATGCTCGCAGATGTGTTCCAAACGTAGAAATGATTTCAAGTCTAAAATCTCTCATGTTTGGATGCTTTTCTTTGTCTAAAATTTCGAGCAGTTCTATTCCAGATATTTTAGCTAGAATAAATGAGTCAGCCTGAATATCACGTAATTCCATTTCATATTTAGAATCTACCAAAATCAATACTAAATGGATTACTGAATAAACTTAAACTCCGTCTAAGGTCATTAAAATCTTGTAAAAAAATTCCAATTAGGATATTTAATGTAGGTACAAATTTTTTGTTCAGTTTGTCATACATTATTTAAAGTTCTGTTTAAAGAGATTGATATGCTTCGCGGATCGCCAGTTGAACAGTGCCGTTATAGAGAAACGCTTACGAGGGATACAAAGCAGGCCATAAAAAGGAACGTACATTATTTAGTTTCGAAAAGTATTCTATCAGTCCTACGAAAAGTGTATTCCACGAACGTAACTCGGTTTTATTTCCCACGGACTCGAAAACGTCGAATACGTGCCGTATATCGAGCCTCCTTTATAAATATATAATTAAGCCTTTTCAATGTTGGAAGAAGCAACTCTTAGGCTTTTCCCATCCCCTCGGTCTGGTCCTGGCCGGCTCGCAGGTCATCGTTTCCTTCGAGAAACAGCCACTTGGAAAGCACTCCCAAAGGTGAACCCTTGCCTCTCCCGGCGCGGTATACCTTACAGAGCCCAGGGTGGTTGGCCACCCTCTGTCTGGGGTCGATTCTTTCTCATTTCGGGCACCCAGGGACCCGCGCCGGTAGCACGTTACACCATCAGCGCTGCCACACTTTCCACTGGCGTAGAACCGACCCAGGCGTTTATTCCCCAGGAATTTAATGAGATTGCAACGTGCGAGCAGAATTTAATTCCTCGAAATGGGCCCCTTAAATCTATCAAGTCCAGGAAGATCGAGCTCTATAACACTTTTTCCCTCACGGTCTCAAGTTTACTTCTCCTTTTAATTTTACTGGCGTTTCTTAACGTGAAACAATGCGAGACGCTCAGGTATTACAATTGCGAAAGTGCTTCGACCTCTGTTAGAACGCGTGTGTGTGCGAAATTATCGTACAACCCTTATTTTTCTAAAGGGGGCTGCGATAGGACTGGAAATTTTCAGTGAAGTAATTTGCCACGTTGGCAGCGATAAACGGGAAACGAAGTATCATATTTGTACGAGGGGCGTCACTGAATAGGTGGATGCACGTGAGCCTTAGGGCGATGACTGAAAGGGGTGGATATTGCTTTTCATTAGCCCGGGCCGCGCGGGACCTTCGAAAAGCTAGACGACCTTGCAACTCTACCTGCCACCGTCGAACGAGCAAACACAGAAAAAGAGAGACAGAGGGGCTGCTCACGTGCGCCACTCTATAATGCAATTTCCGGCTACTTTTACTTTTATCCCTCGGCGCTTGGATGCGCGCGTGCGAGCGTGCGTGCGTGCGTGCGTGCGTGCGTGCGTAACACGTCAGTGCATGCGCACGGAGGTCAAGTGTTAAGCGCTCAGCAATTATACCTGATATCGATCTGCGTTATTGTTCGGGCCTCTTCGGTTCGCGGTCCGACTATTCGCTCGGCTGTTTCAGTCCTCAATCATTCTTGTGATCCAAGATATGTCGTAATAGAAAATACGTAATTTAATCAGGTAGGCTAATAATTTAATAACTTTTAGATATTATCTAGAAATAATAAAACGGTGTCTATGTGAGGCAAGTCGTGTCGTAATTAAAAATGCATAATTCAATCATGTCAGATGATAATTCAATAATTTTTAGAAATCATTTACTGAATTATCTTTGCAAGTCATAGAATATAAGTTATAATAGAAGTTTGATAACTTAATCAGATAAGACGATAATTTAACCATTTTTAGTATAAATGGTGAAATAGTGTCTACTAGGATTATGCGATGCAAGTCACGTCGTAGTAGAAAATGCATAATTTAATGAGGCAAGAAGATAATTTAATAATATTTAGATATTATCTCTAGAAATAGTGAAATACTGTCTATGTGAGGCAAATCTGGTCATGATAGAAAATGCATAATTGAATTTAGAAATAGATTGTGAGACATTGAAATACTGTCTGCTGGGATAATTTGAAAGGTTAAAACAAAATTCGTTTAATTACGATAACGAACGGCGATGGAAGCAGGTAACGCGGAAAATAAGCCTGCTTATTAGCGTGTAAGGCAGCTGAAATTGCGAAGTATATACGGGAAGGAAGCTGATCTTGTTAATAACTCGGGGACCCGGGACAATATCGGGGAGGAGATGGCTGTCGTCTTGTATGCGCTTCATTTATCACTCAAACACTGTAAAATTACATTGCGGCCTCTCGCACCGCGGGCAACGACGCGATGCTTGCGCGGTCCATTTTTGAACGAGGAAACGACGCGACGCGGAAAGCTTTCCCGGGACCAATTATTTTGCTTGAAACGAGAGCTTTGTTATTGTCTGCCTCGGAATCAAGGCTCGTCTCTGCTTCTCGTTACCGGTCGTATATAAAGGTAATGTTTGTCATAACATCGTCATTGAAAAGCTCGATTTTTATAGACCGAGAAAATTGAATGTAAACATTGTGCAGGAAAGCTGAACGTTAATTGGAAGCCATCGAGGAACCATCTTTCACTATCCACCGACCAAACTCCTTTCGGAGTCAGATAGAGTAAGAGTTTTCTTACGACATTAATCTTGATAGTTTCTCAACGAGCTGTCGATCGAGTTTTGACTCGGATGCAACGTATGGGAAAACGTTAAAGAGACCGCTTATCCTCGTAAGTAGGATGCTCGCGGAAAAATTCGGTCGAGCTAGGCG